CAGCCTAGTCCCAGTCGTTCTGAAGTAGGGGCGAGACAAAACGTGGATATAGTACGAGACTGGGACCTAGGTGTGACGTCACCGCTAAAGGTGCTTCAGAACGCCTAGCAGATTTCAGTATTTTAATATGGCGGAAAATTTATATATACAAATAACCTTGTAAATACGACAATGTTCGTTGATCATGTTCGATGTCTACATAACCAAATACAAACTGTATTAAAAATGTGCTCAATTAAAAAAATTATATGGCAAATTTTACGATACTGAGTCTGAGCAATGGTCGTATAATCGTTAAGTTGATGTTATTTATATACTCGCAAGTTGTGATCAACACTAGACCATACTGCATGGTATACACAACTACGCTTTCTACTTGACAGGTTTAAGTAGCTCAGGAGATTGTAAATATTTGCCTGACATGACTGTGTTGTCAAAACATTTTTAGTCGGAAACTCGGCATAATTTTCAAGCTTCTAGATAGCATTTAATATGACTTTATATTTTAGTAAACACGAGTCATGTTTAGCCCGTTATTCCATTCTGACGGTATGGTAGCGAAACGTAGCCTATTTCATTGTTCCGACAGCATTAGAGCAAAACTAATGACTTAATTATAAACGCAAAGGAGATTTCCATAACATTTTCTATTTACAAATGCGGTATGCTTGGTAACCAGGCCAGGGACCACTTTTTTTGAAATCAGGGACCATTTTACCGAAATCTGCTGGGCTCTCTCGCTGAACATGTATATATATATATATATATATATATATATATATATATATATATATATATATATATATATATATATATATATATATATATATATATATATATATATATATATACACACACTACAATGATAAACCTCTCTTTACAGGTAGTTTACCAGTGTCTACTTGAATTAACACTCTACATAATAACAATATTAGTATGACATTAGTTGTGGGTTATCCCATTCTTTGTTACGCTTACAGAATATATAATACGAGGACCTGATACATATATTAATAATTTTCCGAACATAGTACTTTCTACATTGTTCATCAAACTTTAGATCTTAATAATAATAATAATAATAATAATAATAATAATAATAATAATAATAATAACAATAATAATAATAATAATAATAATAATAATAATAATAATAATAATAATAATAATAATAATAATAATAATAATAATAATAATAATAATAATAATAATAATAATAATGGAAACTTTATTTTGACATTTTATGTATATACAATTATAAATCTCACTAATTAAGGTAATTTATAATTGACTACTTGAACTATTAATTATTGATAAAAATAAACTATATTACAGGTATAAAACTAAGAGAAAGCTCATTCTTAAATGTTCATCAAGTCCAGATCGGTCCAATCCTTGTTTCTGCAACAAAATATATAGTACGTTGTTCTGATGGCGATGGACATTATTTTCTTTACACAAAAGTTCTGATGTTTTTTATCAAGACCAACTTCGTTCAACATTTTCATAAACGTGTTACATTCTTTTGAGAAAACACCTAAGGCACTAATAGACAAATTAATAAATTTGACAGTTTTGAAATGGTCTTTCTGCTGCGTAATTAGATCCTTGTATCTTTGCCTTTTGCGATCGACGTTGTTTTGGAGATTGGATTCATATCCGACAGAGAGTTCGAGTATGTACAGACAATCATTTGAAATCGAAAGAAGCAGGTCTGGGCGATAAGTGTCACCGGTTATTATTGACGGGCTCTTGTATCCAGGAAGGTCAACAAATAGAGTGGAGTTGTGGTCAGGTTGGAATATTTTTGAGATAAAATTGAGAATGGAGTCATGTCTCCAAGTAAATCGTGGAAGGTATGACTGGCATCCCGCGACCACATGCAGAAGGGTTTCAGGGTTCAGGCAGAGGGAACAATCCGAGTTTGACATTATTCCCCATTTTGTAAGGTTTTTGCGTGTGGGAAGAGTGTTGTTGATGTAACGGATGGTGAAGTTATAGATGCTTTTTGGCAAGCTGGATTGAGATTTGGACCATAGGTTGTTTAGTGTAGACAACGAGAACTTGGTGGTGTTAGAGAAAAAGGAGCCTTGGAGAAGCAGATGATTTTGAAGCTTGTCCTCTTGTGCAGATTTGAAACTTTTAAGAACTTCCTTTGTTGAGGTGTAGACGTCGTACTGTATGTTAGTATTGTCGCAAGTTGATTTTCATAAATTTATTATACAATCATTTGGAGAGGTTTTTAAGGCTTTACGAGAGACTGTTTGGCACTGAGTGAACTTGACGGATGGAGGGTATATATTTAGTCCAAATTTATTACCTATGAGGAAGACATTACTTAAAGTTCCAGATACGGGTATTTCAAGCCATTTCCGTACGAATTTATTAACTACAAATAATAATAATAATAATAATAATAATAATAATAATAATAATAATAATAATAATAATAATAATAATAATAATAATAATAATAATAATAATAATAATAATAATAATAATAATAATAATAATAATAATTTTTTTTAAACCTTTACAAATCAATTACATAGCCTGACCCATATAGTCATACATTTATGAGTCCAGACCAAATTTTCCCTAACTACACTTAATAAATAAGACAACAGTTCTCTGAATAATCAGGTCCGTTATCTACACTGTCACACATTAGTAGC